TATCAGAAGACAATATGAACACATAACTACAGTATCAGAAGACAATATGAACACATAACTACAGTATCAGAAGACAATATGAAACATAACTACAGTATCAGAAGACAACATAAAACATAACTACAGTATCAGAAGACAATATGAAACTATTTAAGATAACTACAGTATTAATGATACTTTTTTTTGTAAGGCTTATGTGGTACTAGGTGTACCGTAAGCAACAGAATCACGAACCCCATCAGTTAACCCTAAGTCTAAGACAAACTTACCGATAGTTGTGATTACAATGATTGAATACAACAAGGCACCAGAGAATGACCACTGAAGAGGAGGGTCATCTTTGCCATCGTAACCTTCTTTCCTGACGGCTCGGACAAGGGTCACCTCGAAGTTTCTGAGGGTGGCTGCTGCCCGCTCTGTCCAGTTGATCTCATGCAGGACGCTACTTTCGACCGTGATGTCCCACAAGGCTTCCACCACAGCTGTCCGCTCGGTACGCATTTCTTCTCGTTTAGCGCGTTCGTTATAGGCTTCGAGAGCTTCGAAAGTGAAGGCCCCCATGATCGTGTAGCCCACTACCAACCCGCACAGCCCGATGTGCGAGAAAAGAAAAGTAGTGCCCGCTCGGCAGTAGTAGCGACACTTGGCGCAGCGGGTCCGTTCTCCTCGCATGTTCAGGTCATCGATGACCGGTCACGATATCTCATCAGATTAACTAGATATATATATATATGTGTGTGTTCTTAACAGAAGTTTCTAGCGTATAAGCAAATACAAAGACCCGAGCACTATTCCGCTAAAAAATTGTAATACGTCACAAGCTGTACAGTACTACACACGATCAACATCAGTTGAAGCTTAGTTCGTTTTGGTTCTTACTACGTAGTTTCAATGATAAAACTATTTACATTTGTTGTCTCATTCATTAGATTCCTGTTTAGGAGAGATACACACATTGGTTAAGGCTCTAGTTGGTTAACTGACTTAAACTTTAAATTCGAAGCTACAGGTTTTGTGTTGTTGTTGTGCAGGTGTTTCTTCACGGTCCTCGCTTCAACAAACTTCCAGACGACTTCAGAAATCCAGGAAACTTGTATAGCGAAACTTTTTCCGTTCCTCCACGTGCGCTAGCGCCACCCTTCACTCTCCCTCTAGGTATAAATAAAGAGTGGCACGAGGCTATTCAGTCTCGGTGCTTGGACTAAGATGCAGACGCACGCGACACGTCATCACGTGCTAGTACCGTAATGAGTTTGGAAATTGTGCACGTCGGCTTCATTAATTAGGGCTAGGGCCAAAGTCCCGGAAGATAGTACATATTTGAGTGTGACAGACATAGCCATTAGGCTGACGTAATGAGGGAATAAAGACATCGATGGAAGCTTCCTTCCGCTGATTAAACTAGTCGCCGTCCATAACGCTAATGTGATTCGGGTTTATCGACAAGCCAACTTCCGTCCTGGCAGGAAGCATTACCTGAGTAGCTGTCCACCGCTTAGCTCAACAGAAGAATTAGATGTATCTGGCATATTTATGTCTGTGTGTATGTACAGGGGACGATTATGTATCTGACATATTTATGTCTGTGTGTATGTACAGGGGACGATTATGTATCTGACATATTTATGTCTGTGTGTACGTACAGGGGACGATTATGTATCTGACATATTTATGTCTGTGTGTATGTAGATGGGACGATTATGTATCTGACATATTTATGTCTGTGTGTATGTAGATGGGACGATTATGTATCTGACATATTTATGTCTGTGTGTATGTAGTGGGGACGATTATGTATCTGACATATTTATGTCTGTGTGTATGTACAGGGGATGATTATGTATCTTACATATTTATGTCTGTGT